CAAACTTCTGATGCTGACCCAGAGGATGTAGTGGTAGTACCAGAGATCCATTGCCCCCATCAGACAAGATTCTTACTTTGTTCAGACACATCACCTTTGAATGACTGGGATCTTGATCTTCAGACACCTGATATTATGCAAATATTTTAATTTCTTTGGAGCTGTAGATTAAAACAAACACAAGTACACAAGAGGTTGCACTTTATTCGTATTAGTCTATGCTGATCTTGGATTAGCATACCAACAGCATATGATTGTTAAGGGGATAGTTCACTCAAAAATAAAAATTCTCTTATCTTTTACACACCCTCATGCTGTCCCAAATGCATATGACTTTCTTTCTACTGGACGGGTAAACACAAATTAAGATTTTTAGGCAAAAAATCCATCTCTGTGAGTCCTAAAAATGCTTTAAAAACCACACACAGCTATCGTGACAGTAATCCATCTGACCTTAATGGCTGAATCAGTATCTTTAGAAGTGAAACAACAGACAAAAAAAAACACTACTAATTTAAACTTTTGACTATTAACAATCACTTCCAATCAACTGTCATACGTGCATGGGTTACAGTTCACTTGTGTTATGTGGATTCTCAGAGATGGATTATTTTCTCAAAAATCTTTGTGTTTATGTCAAGAAAGAAAAGTCATATACATCTGGAATGGCATGAAGGTGAGTAAATGAGATAATTTTCATTTTTTGGGGTGGAATATTCCTTTAAAGACTGGTATTGCACTCCATTACATAACATACTCATTCACTGTTTTGTAACTTATACTGTAACAGGAACTGTTGAAAGTATCATTGCAGTTTAAAACATATTATGAATTGTGAACATATTCTGTATATTATGTTCTTGTGCATTTTGTGTAATAATGTACATTATGAGAATACTGTGCATTACATGTATACTATGCAGTTAGTGTTTTGTGGATTCCGGTCTTTCCTGTCACAACATAATTGCATCCAAGACTATCACTTTGATACTTGTGTATATGCTATAGTGACAATAAAGAATGTATATTTATTTGAACTAATTCATATTTTCATTTACATTCACTAAAACTGATTTATAAAATCACACTTGAAAGAGTTGATGATTGTTAAAATGTATTTCCAACTTTAAACGTTAGATGATAATGTTAACTAAATAAAATAACTAAACAAAAGTATCAGCTTGATAAATACAATTGGCTGCAAGAACATTCTTTGTGTGGCATATGTTATAAAATGAGCTTGATTGCCTGGTTGTAGAGAGACTTTATTGACGTCTGAATATATCACACATATATGATAGTATTTCAAATGTAACCGCACAACCTAATTAGACCCTACAATGCAAAAGAATCATGAGCAATAAACAAATAT